CACTTCAGTATTGTTCCAAGCGCCTTCCCCGAGATTTTTTTTCAAAGCCGGAAACAGATGGAAGTCGCTGGTGCGAGATCAGGACTGTATGGCGGATGGTGTAGGCGCTCCCAACCAAGAGTTGCAATATGGTTTGCGTTGCGTCGCCGAATGTGCTCTGCATGTATCCAACAGCAGAACGCCAGATGTGAGTCGAGGTCAATTGTCGAAGCACCCATTGTGCTGACACTTTTCTGTATCGAAGAATGTCGTGGATGATGTTTGAGCTCGCTCTGTGAGATTCCAAGTTCTCCGCTACTTCATCGATGGTGATACGCCGGTTCGCTCTAATCATGTCATCCACCTCCTGACATTTGCATCTGTAGTGGCCGTGCGCGTCCGTCCAGCTCTCGGATGTCCTCCACTGCTGACGTCCATCACTGAATGTGCGACACCATCTCCGCACCATTTGCTTCGACCTCACACCTGGCCCATAGTCTTCACGAGGGGTTGAATTTCTGTTCCTGATACTCCATGTACCCATTCATAGCGAATAAATCTCGGGGGAAGGCGCTTTGGAAGCAATACTGAAGTGAAACAAGCCGTTCAACGCTTCTTCCATATGCAAAGCCCTGATTTTTTCCTGGAGGGCTTTTTGAAGCTTATCATGCGATATGACAAATGTCTCAATGTACTTGGTACCTATGTGGAAAAATAAAGGTATGTCATATCTTTAATGTCTCATTCTATTTTTTGACTTTCATACACAATTCTGACCACAGTCGACAGAGGAAACTTATTTTTCAACTTACCTACGTATGATCAAAATATCATAGAATAATTTTTTTAAGCTTAAGTAAAGTCATCAATGAAATCAAAACAGATTGTAAAAATTGGCAAGTGGCAGAGGAAGATAGCTAATTGAAGGATCAAGTCACCAGACAACTTAATTTAACAACATTCGATTTCGATCATACGCAAAAAAAGGGCAAAAGAAGCACAGATGTTTTTTCAATGCCTCTCATTAAGCGCCCCTTCTTTCAGCATTTGGTCATTGCAAAATCAGACAGTTCTAGTGCCTTATTGCCTTATTCAACGATTTGTTTCACTTAAATGTTGGAAATTATAGATGTTTTACCTTCTTCATTTTCATTGTTTTCATTGTTAGCTGGTATTATGAGATCAACCGGTTCTTTTTTCTTCGTTTCTCGATTATGATACGTTACTACATGATATAGTTTAACACAAATAAACAATTAAACATCAATTATATCAATATATATTGCAATTAATGCTATCTTGATTATGATTAAAATTGCCGGTACATAAAGATTACCGATGCCTTTATCATTATTGCCTCTTTAAAATTTTATCGACCTCCAGAAGATGAAATTGACCACGCTGTGAGCCCCTACTGTTGAGCAATGTTAACTTAGGCAAGAATGGTTAGTTCACAGGCGGAATAACAGTTCACAAGAACACACTGATGATTCCGAGACACAATGCCATCCAGTGGATATAATTACAAGTAAAAATTAACAGGATTAAAGTCTCTTGAAAAATAAATAAATATAAATAAATACGCATTTTTGTACTAAATGTGTTTATGTGCTAAGTGTACTATAAATTGTAAATACTCTAAAATACAAGATTTTAAATATTTTTTAACCTCTGCATTTCTCTGTGTATTCTCAAAAAGGACAAAAAGACTCTAGTCGAAATTGCCAAAAACATTTTATATGGATCGATTTTATCGTAATTAGCGCAGGAGCATAGCTATAGACAATACTGCATAAAACAGAGTGATACATTAAAATGTTTCTCTTCCTATAAATATTAATGTTGTCAGGAACGACACATAAACATAATACGACGTAGCACATGATTTGATTGTTTTATCTTTAAGAATTTTGTTTAGCCGTTCAAAAGGAACATAGATTCTCTTCGCTTCCAAAAAATTGTTTTATATTTAAATATATAAGCATGCACAGCCTAGAATTCTTCCCGGTAGGAGGGGAAGAGAAAAAGAAAATTGTGTTAAGTTAAACATCATTTATGCAGTCCATTGCAACAATGCGGTGAACATGGCAGAGAAAAATATTCCGTGAAAATGTTGATTTCTTAATGATCTGTAATCGATAACAGAATACTTCCAACTGTACTACGCTTAGGTGCTGCGCTACGGAGCTTGATACGACAATTAGTATGCTATAGTAGATTCTGCTACTATATACCCTAAGATCTACACGCTAGAAATATGCGTAAACATAAAATATAAAATTAACTCGCCCCCTCCCCCCCCAAAAAAAATTAGATCATTTTAGATTTTATTCCGAATTCTATCCATTCTTTCCTGCACATTTTTACTAAATTTTAGATTTTTTTAAATGAAATGTAAAACTCTAATAAATAAATGAATAATAAAACACAGAAATTTGAAAAATAACGTAAATAAAAAAATAGCTGATTTAGATAACTTCGAAAGTTCTCGAAATTATAATTTATTTATATATATATATTAGTAATCTAAATTGTTATATTATATATTATTTATTACTTATTTATATAGTAAATATTTATAAATTACTATAGATTAATTTAGTTACCTAAATTAATATTATTTCTTATGGTTTTCCGAATGGCAGCATGTTGGCACATGAAAGATTAAAAGTATTTTATTTTAAGTATTTGCAATGTATTACTTTGAAGTCGAGTTTGAATTTGCAGGACTTTCTGAATCAAATATTACACCATCAAAACAATAATAATAAAAACAAAAATCTGAAAGCTTTCAGATTTTATAGTACACGCAAAGGGGCGTTTTTTTTTTATCGTTTAGAGAGTTACCTTTATTTATTAAATATCATGTTCTTCGCACATAAATGATAAAGCTGAATTCATCAGCAATATCACAAAATAATTTAAAAAGAACATATCTTTAGAAATTTCGATACACAGTCTCGCGCGCGGGAGATAAATTTTTTTTTTTTTTTTTTTTTTTCTTTCCCCTGCTTACAGTGCTGCCATTGCTCGTTTTGAAATCGTTGATGTTTTTCATTCAAAACTCATAAGTGCTTTACAAAATGTGAAATAGATTATAAAACAAATTCCAAATGTATGCTTCTAGATGCTCATATTCGGATGGAGACCTACGTTATTCAAAATTTGATGGCTCTAGGCACCGTTGTTTTGTCACAATGAGAGAAACATCTATACATTTACGCAGATTGTTCAGTATTTAATTTCTTAAAATTTAATACAGGGCGATAATATTTGGTGGCAACAATTTGAAATGTGATTCAGACTTTTAAAGTTTTCGATGCGAAATGCTAAAACGAAATTAATAGCCTTTTTGGCTAACACCCTTTGGGATAAAAAATCTGAAAGTTTTCAGATTTTATATTACGTCTAAAAGAAAGTAATTTTTAACATTTTGTGTGTTACCTTTATTTATTAAATATCATGTTCTTCGCACTTAAAACACAAAATTCAATTCAATAGCAATAATTTAAAAAAAGCATATCTTTAGTATTTCTGATACACAGACTCGCGCGCTAGAGATATTTTTTTTCGCGTCACAAAAAAATCATTGAGTTTGTTAATAAAAAATTCGTTAAAAGTTTACAAAACAAGAAAGAAAGAAATTTTAAATGTGAGCTTTCAGATGCCCATATTTGTGTGGAGGACTACGTTATTCAGAATGTGATGTCTCTAGATAACCTTGTTTTTTTTACAATGCGAGAAACATACATACATTTATGCAGATTTTTCATTATTTAATTTCTTTAAATATAATGCAGACCTCTAGTGTTTGGTGGGAACAATTTGAAAAGTGTAACGCCGTTTATAGTGAACCAACGCAAAATGTCAAAACAAAATTAGTAGCCCTTCAGGGTAAATTGCCCATTTGGGCTAAAAATGGTAATATATACAAGGCATACTTTAAGATCTTGAAAGTACGTAAACATTTACTGAGTTCACATTACGTTGAATTCCTCGATTTTCTTTTTTATAATTTCTTTCAGAATAATCTTGCTATATTGTAATAAATAGTAATTACAATACTTTCTTTACTTCGTACAAGGAAGTAATAACAAAATTCTACAGAAACGGGAACAAGTGTAATACCGAAAGCTTTATTTTACAGACCAATTAACTTGAAGTATTTACGTTTTGATTAAATACTCATGTCTGTAATATCTGATAAAATTACAAATGAAAAAAAAAAAAAAAAAAAAAAAAAAAAAAAAAAAAAAAAAAAAAAAAAAGATTACTGTATCTTAATGTGAACACATTTTAAAAACAAATGACAAATCCTGATTTCTATTTATACGTCGTGTAACGAGAAATTTAAGAGAAAGTTAAGTAAAATTAAAGATTAAAGAGATTAACCGATTAAATAAATATTAAAAAAATTCCTACTATCTCCCAACGAAGAAAACCCTCTGGTTAACCTTCTATGTTTATGATTTCGTTATTAAGTCTCAATACATTCTAACTTGTAAACTCAAAAATATTAGGCATTTATAGCTCTAAATTATCATTATTAATATTATCCTAGACGATTCTCGGTTCTATTTTGTAAAATACCACCATGTTATTCAATTACCAGATACTGGTAAGGTAACAATCAAACGTTTTAAACGCATGAAAATTAATAAAAGGAAGAAGAAGTAAAATCGAAGCAAAAATATAGCGTAATGTGAATATTATGATCACTGGAAAAATTGATGCTTGTTTAATATGCAGGTGAAAATTACGTTGGGATGGAATATGTCTTGCTTCAAAACAAAAGATTCCGTTATTATAAGCTACATTTGTAACATATCACATTTTAAATCTGAAGCTTCAAAATTCATATTATCTTAACATTTCAGGAAATACTAAAGTTCAAAACCCATTCGGAATAATATGTTATAACATTTATGTACAAATTATTGTATTTTTTTTTTTCAAATAAACATTTGTTTACACGAATGCCTATTCGTGATCACAGTCTGAGAAGGATAGTTTCTACATACCTTGGCAATGTTTGCAATTGGAGTTTCCGTCTTTCTCGCCGTCCTCACAGTCCAACATGGCCGTCGCCTGTCGGTCGGGCATCAACAAATCAGTCGCCGATAATTAACGAAGTTTTATCTCCACAAATTGAACAATTTACAGAAAAACTGACGATGTTTTTGCTTTCTGTCCAAACATCATTGGTCCACTTAATGGGAATGTAACAAAGACAAGAGGTGAAATTCTCTACATTTTTGGACACATCATGATGGTTAACCCTAACAAAGAGTCCACGCGAGATTTTAAATGGTACAGTAAACATTGGTCACTTCTGAATAAAAGCACTTGCATCATAAGTCCACGGAAATGCATCATCTTCGGATACACCAACTCTCTGACAGCATAATTTGAGCAGGGTGTGTGAAATGTCTATCAGTACAAAAGCCGGCTTCTCTCTTTCTCACAGAATTTTTGGACCACTTCCCCTTCCGCTCAGCAAATGTTCTTATAACAGAAACGCGTGCCCAGACGGAGAAGCACGCGAAAATAATCAAAGATGCTTTAATAGCTGTGGTTTCGGACGTTTGTCTGTGTTATTGTTGACTCACGGGCTGAAATCTTGATTGCTCTGCAAATTACCAACTGATTTGTTGTTCATTGAATTCGAAGAAGCATAACAAGTTTAAAACCATCTTTAAAGACTGTATCATTTCAATCAGATATAATTTTAAGAAAAAGAGCATAAATGACAAAGAGATAACGAACGATTAATGAAAATGATTTTTGGATAGATATCAGCTATACTGTTCTTGAATTGTATCGATGATAATCACAACATATAATGTCACAAATTAACAAAGATTACTTCAGTATACAACTGAAACAAATTGAAATACTTTACAAAGGAAATAAGATTTAGAGGCAAACCTTTAAAACACCTTACTTGAATAACATACAAAATGCTTAAGATGGATGAAATTTTTCTTCTGTTAGACACTTTTCCAAACACATTTAGAAGATAAGCAAAATGGAATTAGTATCACCAGCTTCTGAATATGATGATAGATATACTGTCACTAAATAATTGGTACTTATTGCAAATGTATGCGTAATATAAAATAAGCATTCATGTAGTTACATAACACTATTAAGACACACTAATACATTTTCGATTCAGATATCAAGTACCATAAAATGCAAGAAGCTGTGCTTGACAATTGGAGATACGTCAGATGATAACTTATAAAACTCTTTTCCAAAAATGCAAGAGTATAAGGAGATGAAGTAACACATTTAGTTAATTAATTCTGCTTCATGAATTTCTCAACTAACCATAAATTAAAACACATTTTGAGTAACGGCCAATGCGAAACAGAGTGGTCTATGAAGAGTAGCTTGGCAAGACTTATAGCACTTAATCTTTTTTATCAATAAAACATTAAGGCACTCTCAAAACACAACTAAACATTAATCGGCAAATTCCTCATCAAACACAGCACACACACAGGCCGTTTAGTGACCGCAGCACAGAACAAGGACGAGACAATACGGCCCCCCTTTGTCCAAAATGTTCAAGAGTCCAGTCACAGAAAGAGTGGGATGCAGGGGAATGGTACCGCCACTACGAAATGTTGAGTGGACTGATCTGCAGCATCCCGAACTCGACTGGGATGGGGCCCCAGAGAGAAAGTAGTGTAGCAGCTGATTCACACCACTGCTTGTGCTGTGGAAGGGATGGAGGAAGAGTAGGGAAGGGGGATGCTCCAGGAATAGCATCAAACCTGGAGGAGAGCAACTTTCGCCCATCCATCCATTACATTGAATCTCTGACTCTCCAGCTTCTTTTCTTTAGCATCGATAATATCACGGTCGCGATCGCACGTCTATTAGCGGTTTTTGCCTTCAGCTGAGAAAGCGGAAAATAATGAAACCGAACACAGGAAGTAGTGGTGTCGATTAAGGGACTTTCTAAAGCAGCGGCATTTTAAAACTCACACAGTAGCTTTGACGCATTAGATCTCAATAAGAAGCAATAAAATAATATAAAAATGCTAACTTCCAAGTAAAAGGGAGACTATTTTATTCTAGTATGATAAACATATTCCCAAAACATGAGTATAAAACAATGTAGTGGGTTATTAGAGGCTTAATTTCAGATGAGAACACACAGTATAAAAAATATGAGTCATTTAAATATATTATCAAAATCCGCGGTTAGATCTTTACTTGGGTTTTAATCATTCGACATTTATTTAGCAAACTCGTATATATAAACTTATATATATTTACGTTTATTAAGAAAAACTTATATGTAAAAATTTATATACAATTAATTTTATTACAGTTCATTTTCTTTTATTAAAGTAAACGTGTCACTAATTTAAGAACATAAAATTTATATAAATCATACTTCATTCCGAATGAAGTATGATTTTCATACTGTTTACAAAAATACATTAATAATAATTCTAAAATAAATTAAATCCTTTTCATGCCATTCACATTTTATTATTGCACAAATTAACTTTTCCATTAATGAATCAAGTTAAATTGGTTTTTTTTAATGTTAAAGTTACTAATTTAAAGTCAGAATTCTTTCTGATTTTATACACTTACATAAAGAATTATGTTATAGATTTACAAGAGTAATTTTCATTCAAAGAGATTAGGAAATTAAATGTGTATTTTTAAACTGACCAATGAGGTAAACATAATGAATATTCAGTGAGTATGGAATACTTCGTGAATTTTTAGTTCTTTTCGAATATCATTTATTGCTAGAAGTGTAATACTTTTAATACGGTGGTGCTATCCGATGAATCATTTATAACAATTCTGTATATAAAATAGCGCCATAAAAGTGGTTTGCTATGTTAATGCTCGATGTTTACGGGGAACATATATTACAGTTCCGCGAAATAACTTTATCATAAAATGAGATGTGTAAACATAAATTTGTAACACATATTACAAAAGTCGCCCAGCGTGGTCGAGTGTATGAAATAGAGGCACATAAATAACTCGATATGGATTCAAATCATGTAGACCGAGTTGGCTGCAATGGCATTTTTGTGATTTTCTTTATTGTGTAACGTGCATACGAGCCTGTTTTCCTTAGAAAGACCTCCACGAAGGCATTCCTTCCTTTACGCAGTTGTCCCAAGTGTGTTTTGTCATAATTCAATAATCTAATCCATATTACAAACTAAAGTGTCTGTTAATAGTCTCTGTTACGCGATGATGTTAGTATGAATGAATTCTCAAACAAGACAATGTTGTTGTTGTTGTTGCTCACTTGTCTGACGTAGTCAGCCCAAGCCCACGAAAGCGCTAGTTTACGCCTGCCGTTGGCAACAGCCTTGAGCACCATTGAGGTGACAGTGCGATTAACTCAGTTCTGCCCACCAGTTTTGATGGGCAGCACCTCGAGGGGAACGGGTCCGAGAGTCTCCTATCTCTCTCCCCTTCCACCGAACCACACGAGAGGAATTTCAGCTGGCCGCATACTTACAGTGCCGCCATGCCACACTGACACTATACATTTACAAATATCCACGCCTTCCCCGGGATTCGAACCCGGGCCCTTCGGCACGGCAGTCAACGACGCTAACTGCTATACCGGTTGATCGGCATGCTCAAACAGGCTCCATTTAATGAAAATGCACAACATAACATCACTTCATTAATACATTACAAACCAAAATTTTGTCCAAGCCTTTCGTTTCTTACTTAATACGACATTTCACCATGTAAATATCTTTATTGCGATCACTACGTTCATCTGGAAAACGTAAACCTAGCATAATACGAAAATATTACAGGAAATAAACAAAAAGCGTATTCATACTGTAACCAGCTGAATGATTCTTTGCATAATGCAGTTATTCTTGAATGTTAACCACAGCGCAGTGGAAAAACGTTTGTATTCAAATGTTTCTACTCTTTCGGGTTTACAATTCATTCATATTCTTATTCAAAAATTGCTGTATTTTAGCCTCTCTATGTCCTTTCTGAATTTTTCAATAGTACGTTCATCCAAATAGCTAATGGTCTTAAGGCGTATTTTAATTTGATAATAGGAAAAAATACGTATACAAAACCTCTTTTAAGTTACAAAAGTTTAAAAGCGCTCTAAAAAGTAAAAATAACGTTTTTAGTTTCGCCATCTTACTTGTCGTATGTGTAGATGACTAAATTAACAACTACAGCTAAGATGGATTTTAAATAACTATCTCATAAAAAAATTAAATAAATTGAAAATCTATTCATGTGTTCTTACATATGTCATTTCTATGCTACCAATTTAATTGTACCTCAGAATTTTCTTTTTTGTTCAATGCAATTTTATTTTTGGATTCATTAGGCTTTTATTGTTAGTGACATAACAACAAGAATGCTGCAATAGCTAAAAATGTTTTTCCCTTATTTTGTTTCCCATTTAGTTTATTTACTTTAAAACCGTTTAACATAGAGACAGACTTTTAATAATGACGAAAATAGTACTTAACATCTTCTTCCCTTCAAGACATGATGATGTAAGTTTACATTCAATTTACTTGTATTTGAACTGTTCTTTGAATGTTTTACTTTCCAATCTGATACTGTTAGTATCCCATTTATAGAATTTGGAAACATAACCCAAAATTGATCAACTAAGTTACTTACACATTCAGAACGAATTTCCTTAAGAAAATTATTTTCTGATTTATCCGATAACGAAAAGATCAAAATTCTAGAACGTTTAAATCTTACTTTTTGAACAGATATATGCTGTTTAAAAATATGCTGTTTAAAAGCTGTTTAAAAATTAAATAAAAATTCTACACCGCATTTTGTAAGTAAAAAGGTCACTGAGGCGTATTATATGTGGTCGCAAATTGCAAGAAAATCGTCTTCGCTACAGAGGATCGAAAATCAGTTCCCAAAACAAAAAAATAAACAAGACAGAGAAAAAACGTACAAAACGTAATATCTTTAAGCGCTAAGTAATAAAAATAATGACAAATTCTTTTCAATCTTTTCCTTTAATATTATCTATATTAAAGTTTGTTAGATCAAAGTTCTCCAGGAAATTCTTTTCAAATATCACTGATACTATCTTACAAATAATTCAGTAATGTCAGTTTTTCAACAGTGAAAAATTAGAACAGATGTTAAATTATATGCAGTCACACATTTTCTGAATTTATTACCTCTAAAATACACATACTTCACTGAATTTATTGCCATTTATTTCTTCTTTTTCGAAACTTCCAAACTGCATATAGCTATGCAAATAAAGGCAAAAAATAAATAAAAATTTATTGTACATCACGAATCCCTTAAGGATCCTAGATTGTCAGCACCCTATTATACAAATTTTCTGCATCTAACGCTTTGACAGCAGCGCGTGTTTCCCTACCGCCGTGGTAAATTCATCTACAATTTGTTGGCAAATATTTCATTCTTCAGAGAAAAATATAAAAGAATTCATTTTTCACTCTTTGATTTATGGGGTTTAGCCTGTTTTTTACTAAAAAAAGAGGAAACAGTAGGATACAGGATACGACGACCGATCACTTATTTCGTGACTAGCAATTTTTCTCGTGACTGGCTGTCTTGTATTTCTCAGATTAAGTAGGATGAGGTAAGGAAGAAGGAATTGAATAAAACTGACAAGCTTCTTTCCACTTGAAAAATAATGATGCATATAGTACGAGATAAGCCCGCGAATGTTTTTTTAATATTTAATACCATATTTTGTTGAGTTTGGATCGATAAAGAAAGAACTTCATTAATTTGATGATATAATTAATTGAAGCGTTCACTTCAAAAAGAAAACATTCAAATTCTTTGAGTATTTAATTTTTATTTATTTAATATAATAATATTATATTATTATTATTAATAAATATAATTAATTAATAATATTTATTATTAATTAATTATATTTATTATTGAGTATTTAAGAAGTACAGAAGAATCGTGAAAAAATGTCGGGTATCATATTTACAGAGAAATACAGTAGAACTCCGATTTTCCGAATCAACTGGGACCGGACTCCATTCGGATAATAAAAAATTCGGATAATTGGATTTTTTCCAAAGAAAGGGTCTTCGTGCACTTTAATTAATTACTGTATATATTGTATGTTGAAAATGGGAGAAAAAAACTATTTAAAAATAAAAGAGGTTTAAATTAATTAAAACAAAAAGGAAACACTTTTACGTACATGTTATGCAGCGTACTGTACCGTACTTACAACTGCTGAAAGTCATTTCTTGTTGAGCACCTGGATCAAAGTAAGCTCTTTGAATGTCTTCATCTGTTTTCGGGCAGCCAAGCCGCGCATCCGCTCGACAATGAGAAGTTGCCTGTGGTCACATTCGGACCATCCACTTCAACGCAGTTTCAAGGCCGGCAACCTCTTCAGTAGCTGATAGTCCCGTGTCTGCTTCAACTTCGATATTAAGGTCATCTTCCCTCACACTTCCAATAAGTTCATCATTATTTAGAATTTGAAACCCAAGGTCTGAAAAATCACACACCATCCATTATGCTGTATGCTCAGTACTAACTTCTGAACATCTAGAAATTTTCAAAAGAATGTTTCTTAATTCCTCAAGTGACACGTCATCCTCATCTTCTTCTGTCTCTTTCCTTTCCTTTTCCTTCTCTTCTACAGTTGATTCTGAA